GAGTTAAATCCTTTACTCTACTTCACAAAAAGTGAAAATATTATTATTAATTGTTATATATAACTAATGTTAAAATTTTAACAATAAACATTTAACAGATTAAAACTGTGAATTTTATAAAATTGGATGATTAAATTTACACACTTTAAAATTGAGAAATTAAAATGACAAATATTAATATAGAGAGATAAAAAAAATACAATTTAACCTATTTTTAATTATAATAACTAACAAAAAGAAGTTCAAACACATGTTTGTTATACTGTACATTATAGTTACTTGAAATCGACTAATAAACTAACATTTTGCGTCCTTATTTATGCTTCACAGTTCATGATATTGAGTTAATTACATGACCCTCTGATTCGCTGATTCATTCGCCTTATGTGTAAACATCAGTGTTGCTCCATGGCTTTATACATGAGGTTACCTCTAATAAATGTTCACTTGGTGTGGTATAATTCTGCAGGTAATCTTGGTCTTGCTACTGCGACTAGTGGCTGAGCAAGAAACATATCTGCTTTGGACTCAGCAAGATTGATGATTGACACATTAGGAGGTGCAGTCCAAGTGAAGCCATGGAGCAACCTAGCCAACAACATTACAGTTATTGTGGTGCCAAGCATTATTCCAGGACAACCGCGCCTTCCTGTGCTGAATGAAATGAACCTTAAATTTGGCTCTGTCATAACTACATCTGACCCATCACTCTTGAGGTGGCGTTCTGGTTTGAATTTGAGGGGTTCCTGCCACACTTTTGGATTTCTTCCAAGACCACTTCTACTCAGTAGTATATGACTACCCTTTGGGATCAAGTAATCAGCAACCACTGTATCCTCCATACAAACATGAGGAATAGTGAAAGGCACAACGGGATGAAGCCGAAAAGTTTCTTTCACGCAAGCCTTCAAAAAGCTGAGCTTAGGAATATCTGATTCTTGAACTAGTCTCTTTAGACCTACCACGTTGTCCAATTCTTCCATGGCTCGTTCAAGCAATTTTGGCTGGTTTATCATTTCTGCTAGTGCCCATTCAGATGCCTGTGTTGGATTGTCCACCACTGCCATCATCAACTCCTACAACAAGTTTAATTAAGTGTATATACTTTTAATTAATATATTAGACAAAAAATTGCATCTTACACACACGCATACATGTGTATATATATATATATATATATGGAGGGATCTGTTTATTTTAAGAATAAATCTTCCTAGACTTACTATGTATAATAACTCAAGTTTTATATCAAATTTCAACGATTTAATCGTTGAATTTAAAGTTCTTAATGTATAGATCAAGTTTGTAAATTTTTAAAAAATTTGAAAATCGTTTGATACGTACTTCATTTCATTAATTCAAATTGACAGATAATCCTAAAATTATTTTATACATTGATTTAATTAATGAAATGAAGTATCAAACGATTTTTAAATTTTTTTAAAAATTTAAATATTTGATCTATGTATTAAGAACTTTAAATTCAACGGTTGAATCGTTAAAATTGATGTAAACCAATATATCATGAATTCTACATTTAAATGTGTAAAATACATTTTGTTAAATTATTATTATCACCGACATTACTGGAACTTCCATCATGACATATTATTAATATCACGTTCACCACACAATTAATACATATGCTTATATTAATTTTTACATGCATGATATGAAACTTTAGAAAATAAACTAAAAACTAGAAGAAAAAGACGACACAAAATTCTGAAGACATAAATTTATTGTAGTTTTACAAATTTTAAAACTAAAAATTTAAAATCATCCTCAACGACCCTAAGTTACACATGATCGAAAGAATATGGATTGGTATAACATCATTTTAAAAACTAGTAAATAACATGATCGAACCACAATTTCTCTACATTTTCCTTGTCATGGGTTTTACTTGTGCTAACTATAGAATAAGTGAAACAATAGTTTGTATAGTAAGGTAAAAAAAGACACAAAAAAGAGCTAGAGGTGAAATTATCTAATAAGAGAATAAACAAATAAAGAGAGAAGTATTCAGTAGAGAATAAACAAATAAAGAGAGAGGTATTAAGAAGGCAAAAGTTATACTTTTGGCAAGCATGGCAATTGTATCGTAAGTAATAAAATGGTCAAACGTTTAAGTATTAAATCTACAAGAATTTTGTGTAACAATTAATTTAATTTAATACTAATTAAGAAAAAGAAAAGGATAGATTTAATTATTTGAAGAACATAATAAAAATAAAGAACATATTTTTAAGATTTAGAATAATAAAAGATTGAAAAAATAATTGAAAATTTTAAAGTAAAAGATATCAAGGATTGATTTGACTAATCTTCTTCACATGTATCATTCTCAATTATTATTCAATTTCAGTAATTATAAATTAATAACTAATAAAAATATTTTAACCATAATTCTTTAGGTCATGAAATTCTAAGTTCTTTAAGAGAAATCATAATTTCTTGGTGAAGTCTGTGAAGCAACCATCATTAAGATTAATGGTTTAAAATGTTGACTAATAAGAATAAGCATTCTTAGTGTATTCTCTATATCATAATTTTAAAAGAATTTTTCAATCTCAATTAAATATATGGGATCATGTATAGGGTGGTCAAGACAAAACACACTTTAAGAGAAGAAAAAGAAGAACAACAACAATTAATTGAATAAAAATATTAATTGAATACAAACATGAGAAATTACATGGAATAGGGTAACTACGTCTTTCTATTATCTTTAAACCCAACTTTTATAAGATTTAAATGGGCTTTTTCCAATTGAGATTGTGATGTCCACTTGTTAAGAGCGCTTAGATTAACAGGATAACTTTTGAGTTAGCTCCTTAGAATACTCAGATGGCTTGCTTTGAGTGAACATAAACTTGTTTAGAGTACGTTTCCCTCTCTCTTTAAACAAATGTTCCCAATGTTTAGCTTGTTTAGTATTAATTAACTCCCTCCTTCCTATATCTCAAAATTTAAAAAAAAATAATTAAAAAAACACCTAAAACTATTAGAACTCTACTAATTAGTGAGATAAAATTAAAATATTAAATTTTGACATAAATAGGACTCTAAAACATAAGATACATATTAGATAATTACTTAAATTAGATAAAAGACATTAATATATTTAACAATTATCAGTAAATAAAAACATTGACTTTGCAATTATATTTTTTTTATTTTCATCATCAATGGTGAATCATTTTAGAATAAAAAAATTATATATATATATATATATATCAAGGGGAGGTTGTATAACACTATTTTACTCCAAAATACTTTTCTCTCGTTATCATTAAATTGCAAAGTTTTGATTAAATTAAAAAATTAAAAAATTTTCGGATAAAAGTTGAAAGAGAAAGAAACACACAAAAGAAAGTTGAATGTGTGTGAAAAGAATTTTCAAAAACCTTTTCCCCTAATGAATAAAGAAGTTATAAGTTATTAAAATGTTTTGCAAAGGTGCAAACACAGGAAAAAGGAAACATAAATATTTTTATATTGATATTTGCTTAAACATAAATTACGTTCAGTTATCTTCAATTTAAAAGAGTTTCACTAACACGAAAAACTTACAAGTATTTTGACCGCCACTTTTCACTTACAAGTATTCGCAAACCACTACTAGTCCAATTATCTCTCTTATAAGCCTCATAACCTCAAAGGAACCTCACTTCATTCATTATTATAAATCTGAATAATACCCATAGTGTGGTCGTAATCACCTTGATGTGGCTTGGACTTTGGAGTGGAGAAATATTTTTCTCAGTATTTCATTATTATTGTTTTTTTTTAAAATGTAATTTATTTTCTTCTATAAAGATATAATCCATGTAATATATTAAATCTAACAATTACTTATATTTATGGAAGATGATTTTTATTAATCAAATATTATTTTTCTATAAACAAACCTAGTAGTACTTTTTTATTTCCATTTATTTATAAAAGAGTTGTAGTAGCATACTATCTTTCACTCTTTTCCAAACACATCTCTTGTCATCAGTTAATATTCATGCATGTGTAGATTCCAATAAAATGAGAATGGGTTTCACATATATACTAAAACTCACATGGATTTTACCAAATAGAAGTGTTTAAAAAAAAAGTGCATTATCATTATTTCTCTTATTTACTTGTACAACGCTGCTGCTAATCTTGGCTTTGCTACTAACACAAGTGGCTCCTTAAGCAAAACACCATTTTCAGACTTGGCAAGGTTGATGGTTGATACATTTGGAGGTGCAGACCAAGTGAAGGCATGGAGCAACCTAGCTAATAGCATGACGGTCATTGTTGTGCCAAGTATGACCGCAGGACAACCTCTTCTTCCAGTGCCAAATGATATTAACTTTAGATCTGGTTCTGACAAAGCGATCAAAGGTTCATCATTCTTTAGGTGGCGTTCTGGCTTGAACTCATGAGGCTCATACCACACTTTTGGGTTTCGGCCAAGCCCTTGTCTGCTCAATAGTACATGGCTACCCTTTGGGATAAAATAATTGCCAACCATTGTGTCATTGACTGAGACATGGGGAGGATTAAAAGGCACAACAGGATGAAGGCGAAAAGCTTCTCTTACACAAGCCTTCACATAATTCAGATTAGGAACATCTGACTCTTGTACCAGTTTTTCCTTACCAACAACATTATCCACTTCTTCAGTGGCTCTTTGAAGCATTTCTGGATGATTTGCCATTTCCGCAAGTGCACATTCCACTGCATTTGATGGATTGTCTGCTCCTCCAAGCATGAGTTCCTACATGTTCCATTTTCTCTGATTATTTATTCAACATGAATACATGTACCATTTGTACGTAATTGCTTGTGATAGTTTTGATGCATGTATATACAAATTACAATAGAAGCAAGAACAAATGTGAAGAAGTACTATAGTATGTGATGTCAACAAAATCATTTGGAGAGATTAAGAGATATCAACAGCGTCCTTTGTGTCAGTAGTTTTCATCCCTCATTCCATTTTTAACACTCTTTTAATGGTGAAATCATGATTTTTCTTCGTCAATCGTGTTCCTCAAGTTCCTCAAGCATTATATATACCTCGGTCTTATGGCCAAACAAATCAAGTTCCTCAAGCACAACATATATGCATATTCAAAAACTGGAAAGGCATAAATTTAATTAGACAATGTGGAAATGACGTCAACATATTTAGCATTCCTACACGGATCGGAA